GTCACGTGAAAATAAGCCTATGTCCAGTTTTTATTAACTTTTAAGCTTCCCAAGTTCTAATACTCATAAGAGTAAGGCTAAGCATTATTATGAATTAGCCTAATTTTATACCCCCGTTTTGCTGGAAATGGATAAAAGCCTGTACTGTAGGCCTAAGTTATGTACATTGATTCTCAGTCATACTACATTTACTAATAGCAATGCTACTACTAATGTTTCTGGAGAAAGCAAACAATATTCTCTTGACTGTTAAAACTGAAATATTCAATGGAAATAATTGCTTTGGACTGGAAGTGGGACTAACGTTATTATATTGCGATGGTCGTACTGACTTATAACTATGGCTTTAAATTTAAATCCAGTTCCAGTGAATTGCTTCAATTGATAAAATTACTCAGTTGACGTTGCTGTCCAGGTAGCTTTTTTAACACATTGGTGTTACACTCTCACACTGTTTCGACTCTGTAGGTTTAACTTGAGCTTTCAGCAAGATGACATCCAATATCATGCATGTAGGAGCTTGTCTATTTACATCACAAGATAGCTCTCCTATTACTAAGCAAATTTAACAGAAACACTGACAGTACAACCGTTGTCCCTAGCCAGCATCCAACAGACTTCATTATATGAAGACAGTCACGAATCGGTTGTAATTTGCAGTATGCCTAGTCCTCTATTTATTCAGCCTCTTATTATTTAACTATAGGAACATAGCAGTATCAGGATTGCACCAAGTCCAAACAGTAGAAAAAATGCAAAACACCTTAAAATTGAACTTCGAAACGAGCTGGTGCAGCAGTGACTGAGGTACGCGGTTTGTAGAACTTCAAGTACCTCTTGCTCGTTTCTCGAACGTTCCCTCACGAACTCTTTGCTTGGTTTTCATCATTCAGGTCAACGGAATACTACAAATACGTCGTTTGGAATAAACTATATATAGAAAGAGAAACCGATCAAGACACTAATCCAACGCTCTTCACTGTCACTCATCATGTGTTTTCTTGTTTCCCCAGTCGAATGAAATCATGCAAGTAGACAAGAAAAGGTGAACTCTTTTAAAACGGAAAATAATATATTTTATATTATATTATAATAATTATACAATTCTTATTATTCTCTGCAATGTATACAAAGGGATTTAAAAATATTTATTCAATAACTTTCAATGACCATATTATTTCAATCCCTTTACGTTTCTTCAAATCCGTTATAATGTCTATGGAGTTCACTTACAGACGTTATCTTTAGTGTTTTTAGTACATGCCTATGAGAGATGATACTGTCGTGGTATCATCGACTTGAATGAATTAAAATATTTCTGGGTTGCTAATAAACTACACAGTCACTTTAGTAGAGCAATAACCGGCAGTCAGGTCATTTCTCAATTAACTTTCTGCAAATCACGTTTTTGAAAAAGTAGTGCTAAATTAATTCTCAAAACAGTTTCCTCAAAACTGCGCAAACGATATTAAGCCTGACTCCCCACACTAAATTTCTACCGATCACTAGTCATATGGAATTCTATTGCATTAATTACATTTCAGTTCAAAAAATTTATAAGTTTGTTGTTTTTCCAAAGTTAATACTGTAAATTAAGAATAAAATTATCCAAATAAATGATATTCATTCTCGATCACTGTTACACTTCAATTGTTGTCGTGTTATTTCTAATAACAACCGCTAACTAAAAAATAAAATAAATGTTACAGCCTATTCATTGTGGTTATGGTATTTTAACTTCGATACAAAAATATATAAAAATTTAATTAGAGGATAACCTATGTATGTTTTCGCGTTTCTTATTCTGTCATTTGTACTAGCGCCCCAGTAGCACAGCGGTATGCCTGTGTACTTACAATGCTAGAAACCGGGTTTCTATACCTGTGGTGGGCAAAGCACAGATAGCCCATTGTGTAGCTTTGTGCTTAACTTCAAACAAAATAAAATAAATAAACCTTTCTACTAGTGTTTATTTTAATTTCAGTAATAGCAATGAAAGAGTAGTGTCATCTGTTGGAGATAACTATTATTATTCTGATTTTGTAATACGTACATGCAGCATATTTCAGATTATAAAGAATGTATCGTTGTCAAAAACTGTAATAACTGTAATATATTATAATCACCCGAAATCCTTAATGAACCAATATAATTGTACTTAAATATGCTTTTACAGGTTACGGGGGGGGGGGGGGACTTCAAATGATAAAATATGATGAGTGAATTTTAAAGGCCAAACTGATTCACAGAATCAAATGCTTTAGTTTCGATCTTTGTAATTTCATAAAAAAATGGCATATCTTTCTCCGAATCTTACTTCTGTAAAGAAAATGAAGATTTATTGTTATTATTAATTTGTTTTTTTTTATTCTAAGAGGCAGCCAATACAGTCTGGAAGACTAAGTAATAGTCGTATTCGTAGACTCTACGTTTCTGGATAACATTTGACATTTTTAATTCTAGGCTTTATAAAGCAGCTGGTAAAAACAGCCTCTACTGTTATTATTTTATCAGCAAATTTCCTAAATGTTTGGAAGTTCTACCAATTCATAAACATATATAATTAATGTCTCTTGTTTTTAGCAGAATTTTCTAAGTAGTCACTATTTGAACGATAATAACTTATAACCAAAAAAATTAGTTTTAAAACTGCAAAACATTTCTGCTCACATTGATGACAAATACAATCATATATTTCATGTTGAAATTGGTCCAGCTGTTTCAGTAAAATCCTGTCTGAAAAAATATAACTCCCTCCAAAACAAAAGAGGGACACGGATGTGTCATGATAGTAAAATAATGTTTTACTGTAATGTCAGGGAGAGGAGGATGTAACTACATCATTAAATTTGGGTACAGAGTCTGTCGGCCTCATCAGCAATCTTTCGAACCCATAGATAAAATCACCACGAAAGACTACCATCCTTGACTGTGAGGGATTGCCAATCGTTAAATTTAGTCGATTTCAGTCAACTAACTTTTAAAACCGGTTTTTCTGTTCAAACTTTGTGAAAAGAGTTTCCTAAGCAAGGTGGTGTTGGATCGTCAAAATGTGTATGATTACTACTCTTTAGTATGTTAACTCTATCTCTCTAGTGGCCAGCGTGGCCTGATGATAAGCGTACCAAGCTGTGAATTCCATTGTCTCCAATTCACGTACTGTTGCCTTAAAATTATGTGGGTATGTTATAAGAGTGATGGTAAGTTGCACTATATGGTTAGAGTAACCCACGACATGGCACTGGATACTGCTTATTAGCTGCCCTATTTCTAGTCTGTCAGTTTAAAATCAGGGACGGCTAGCCTTGTGTAACTTAACGCGACTACTCCAAACAATCTATCTCGAATGGCTCAAAAATCGGTTATGAAACTTTTGGGCTCCTCTTATTGCATGCTTTACCGATGTCAAAAAAAAAAAGGGAAAAATATCAACACTTTCATTAGCATTTTTATTCATCAGTAATAGGTAAATAGTGGCTTGTTTCAAATTAGAAATAAGAAACACATATAAAAATCGCATGTCTAGTGATTTAATTAAGAAGCACCAGTGACCGTTGTAAAATATACCAATAGTTCGGGAATGGTTTAAAGTTCTTAATCTACTGGTTACAAGCATTGGGGTACAGGCATATACCAAATACATTTTTCTAGTTTCGGGTTCTGAAAAAAAAAGAGAAAGTGTCAGCACCATCATTTCACTTCACAAATTGTTATTCAAGAACAGAAGCGCGATGTAGAATCCATAAAACAAATGTAAATTAGAATAATCTTTGCTCAACATCTAAAACGAAGACAAACCGAAGTGTTCTTGAAAGTACTGTTATCTGCATTTCTAATAAACCGGATTTACATCTTCAGTATAAACATGAAAACGGTAAAGATGTGGCTGGCCCATTCAGTACAAGTGAACAAAGCAATGTTCCTATTTTTATCAGCATTCAGTCACTTTAGATAAACTTACAATTCGGCAGAGTTTGAGTGATGGACAACATAAAATATTTCTTTTGAAAATATGAGCATGTTCAAAGGAAGAATACAACCCTTGGTCAGAGACAGGATCCCAGATGTGACAAAAATTTAATTATTGTTTTATTATTCTGATTGTGAATAAATTAATAATTTTTGATCGATATTTATGTTCAATTCGTTAAACTACGTGAACTAAAACTGAAATTTAATAGATGTTAGTTATTTAACACATCGTTGGTACTATAATATCAGTGAAATTCGCGTGAAACATTGGAAAAACTGAAAGCAAAATCTCAAGTATTAAGTTTAAGGTTAATTTTAAAACTAAATATATATAGAAAAAAATGATATGGTTTTGAACACATTGCAAAAAAGAACAATGCATTACTTTTATGTTTTTCTGGTACAACTAGAAAAGGTTCACGAAGTCCAAAATGACGATTAAAAGTATAAATACAACTAAATTAGAGATATAAGTAGTATATAATAAGATATATCAATACTGAAATTTATGTGTTTTTGAATAAGAAAGCTAGTGCGATAGATAATGTGAAATTCAAATTTATACTGTATAGGTCGGAAAATGCTCTTTTGCGAATGGAAACTGATGTTGTCTTTATTTGTTAATTTTGTCTTTAAAAATTCAAGTGTATAGATCAACTTCAATCTATAATCCTTCATTTAATCAACAGATTCAACATTTTCCTTGTAAATGTTTACGGAATCGAACCCCAGATTTTAACGTTGTAAGTTCGTAAACACATCGCTGACCCAGAACAGAAGGAAAAGAAATAATCAAATCGGCATTTATAACGTTACTTAATTGTATCTCCATAAAATATGTTTAGCATTGATGTTACGATATTTAACTAGCAACTATAAATAATGATATTTTAGACTTAACATTTTAAAAAATAGATTTTATGTTGTGAAATTAAAATCACTGAATTATTTTCACAATAAGTTAAGGTTTGGTACGTTTAATCACAGACTTATGATGATTTACCCTAGTGAGACTCAATGGTAGTTTCCGCCATTTGCTGGTCGGAGAGGCATTTTTAACAAACTTAGATCATTATCATATTTAATTTTTCATTATAGTTTTGTGAACTAAAGGTTATCCGCTTTGCTTATTTTCGTTTATTTAGTGTGATAAAAGTATCAAAAATGGACTCAAAGAAAAGCCCAAATAGGTAATACTATTTTTATTACTAATAAGTTCAGTAACTATTTTTCATTTTTTGTAAAATCAGTAAAGTTAATTCGGTAAATATGAATTAAATGTTATTAATTAGATAACTACCACGGAATGTTGAATGCATGTAACAAATTAAGATTTTAAACAGTGAGGTTCTCTGTATAGTCTAAGGCTACTGTTTTACTTTTAGAAATTAGAATCATTAACAGTAACGATAACATAAGAATGGGTATAGTGCAGTCATACTCATGGTAACATTTATAATTGTTCATAACGAGACGTTACCTCGTAGTCGTAACTGCACATCTGTTGAGTTTTTCTTTTGAAAACGACAGTTTTTATGACATTTATCTCTGAATGAAGAAATGACTAAATCAGTAATCAAAATTCTTGCTCAGCGATATTTCTTTCTTTCATCAATCAGTGGCTTTGAACTTAAATATTTATATTATTATATATCCTTGTTAACAAGTGAAATTGTAAATAAATGGGTATAGTTGTCTTTGTGGGGAAACGTAAATTTACTCGGGTTTAAGCATGTGCATCTGTTATTACTTTGTATTTTTTATATTTGTGATTAAGTTATTTCAAGTTGAAGTTGATAGTTATGTAAACATTGAAATATATGTAAAGGATTTTTGACTTTTAATTGGAGGGTCATTATGAGAAATATATTAATAACAGCTAGCATTTTTCAACTAGGCTTAGTAGGTGGTCCATGAGTTGAAAATAAAAAGTCAGAAGAGATCCTTCAGATTGTTGAAGTCACCAGTCTGCTTAACCTAATTGTTTCAATATCCGTTGTTATAGGAGATTGCTGAAGTTTGCAATGATATTACCCATTAGGTTTTCCCCGTAGAGGACTTAGGCTGGATTTGTGACCCTGAGAATTTGTTTGAAGAAAGTATTTTGGGAATGTGTGATATGGATTTTAACCTGGAGCTGTTAAAAAACAAACAAACCTGAGAGTGAAAATAGATAAGGCTCCTGAATCTAGTAGTATTTACTCCAGGGTTTTTAAAGAAGTATTGCCTAAGAACTTTTAGATGAGGTAATCTTCAGTGAAGGGAAAGAGTCTGATGAAAAACTTCTTCGTACAATCATTTGATGAAGTTTAAAATTTTGTCAGACAGCCCTGGCTCTAAAAATGGATGATCCTGTCTTACCAACTTATTAATTTTTTTATACCTAGGATGTTACTTTATAACTGGGTAAGTTTATAGGAGTTGATGTACTTGAATTTTCAGAAGGCTTTTAATAAGGTGCTGCAAAAAAAGATTTGTGTAAGAAAATTGTGTCAGTTGGATTGCTGAAATAGTGAAATGGAAAAAAAGGTTTTATGGGTAGGAGGAGGTTTAAATTTATTATTGTTCATTCTAACAGGACTAAGGTTACAAGTGGTATGTTGGAAGGATCTGTTCTGGAGGCTCATTTACATCAATGACACTGATTGAGTTGAGAAATTGGTTATGTTTGTAAGCCTTGTGTCGGACTGTCTGTAAAGAGGAGGATGTTACAAAGAAACTTACAGTAATTGTAAAGTAATGCATTTGGATCTGTAACTGAAGAAAAGGATCTTGACTTAGTGGTAGATAAGCTACTCGAGTTGGTGGCAGTAACTTTTGTAGAATTGTAGGGTGTATTTATGGACAAATTGTTTACACATCAAGAGATAATTACCTTTTTATACAAATCACTAGTTAGGGCTAACTTGGAATACTGTGTATAGTTTTGATTTCTATCTAAGAAAGGTCTTATTGGAAAGGGTTCATTGTGGGGGGCTACTAAGATGATTCCAGGTGGGGGGAGGGTTATCTTACAGGGATAGGTTAAAATTCCTCAACTTGTTTTCTTTAGAGAAATGAAGGGCAGAAGGTGATCTTGTTGAATTTTACCAGATTATTAGGATTATTGATAGGATAAATGTCTGACTTCTTTATGCTATATTTTGAACATAATTTAACTGGGGTCTTCTACGAATTTCATCAAGACTCGGGACCAGTTATCAATAAACCTTCTACATCCACCTAACTAGTAACACCCTCAGTCAACCATCTTGAAAACATCCAAATAGTTAGTTTATTAAAGTTATAACAAGTGAATTATCCATTTAACTGGGGTCTTCTACATTATAACTTTAATAAACTAACTATTTGGATGTTTTCAAGATGGTTGACTGAGGGTGTTACTAGTAAGGTGGATGTAGAAGGTTTATTTCATGTTTCTTATATGTGGTTCATATTCTGTTATTCTAGTTTATCATGACGGTTGTTTTCAGTTGCAGACAGATCTGTATACCCAAGTTTTGTATGTCTCCCGTGTTCCTCACTTTAATTGGTTTTTTGTTTCTCCAGTATTTTGAAATCCACATTCACGGGGAATGTTGAAAATGGTGTTTTTCTTTTCTGTTTGGTCTCGAGGCAGTTTGGTGTTTACAAAGTTGACTTGAAAACAAGTAATGTGTGTGCTGTTTATTCATCATTGAATTTATCACTAACAAGTCACAGACACCTACTATAGAAGAATCCCAAGCCCAACAACAACACAGTATATATATATTTATACTACAATAAGAAGTATAACTTAAAGCCTTTTAATTGACAATTGGCAAAATAATTATATTTTAAATTCTGACAGGGGGTGGGGGTCAAAGTGTGCATGCCACAACCTTCTACAGAGTGCCATTCAACATGGTATTTTATATTTCAACTGTTCATTTTACCCTACATTGCTGCTAATTTAGCAACAGTTTGTGATAAATACCAGTTGAAAAGAACTGTAGATATGTATTTTAAAGGTTCTACAAATTCAATGTGCAAACTGTATAATAGAACAAAGTATATTTATTTTTCACATTAACATCATCTTGCACTCTGACTTCTCAGAGTCTGACTGATATCGATAATTGAGAGATGTATCTCGAATACAAATATGTTTGTAACACATTTGATCCCTTGTGTACAACAGGCTTGTACGTTTTTCTAAAAAATTGCACATTTTATACAGAAGCACAGTAAGTTTGGAATTATAGTCCATATTCCTTCTTTAATATGGAGTCAGTCCAATGGATTGACCTCGTGTATGCTTGGTAAAACCATTCTTTCTGTGAAATACTTTTAAATTTTGTGGCGCTGTTTATTTTGTATATAATTTTGGTTGGTATTTTCTTTGGTACAGAAGATCTAGAAGACAGTCTAAACCAGGTGAAGAGAACTACTGGGACTGTAGCGTCTGCACCTATCGTAACTCAGCTGAATCCTTCAAGTGTTTGATGTGTGATGTGAGGAAAGGGACTTCTACTCGGTATGTGTACGTAATTGATGAAGTGTGTTTTTTAGCTTGTTTCCTGTGGCTGGTTCCTATACATTAAAAACTGGGAAAATGGATATAGTTTTATTAGTTTCATATTTTATGAATGTTTCCAAATGTATAACATTCATGTTTTATCATACAAGATAAGCACGACTCGTGCAGTGGGACTATCATTCATTGTGGGTTACTTTTTACAAATGTATAACATTCATGTTTTATCATACAAAATAAGCACGACTCGTGCAGTGGGACTATCATTCATTGTGGGTTACTTTTACAAATGTATAACATTCATGTTTTATCATACAAGATAAGCACGACTCGTGCAGTGGGACTATCGTTCATTGTGGGTTACGTTTTACAAATGTATACCATTCATTCATTTTATCATACAAGATAAGCACGACTCGTGCAGTGGGACTATCGTTCATTGTGGGTTACGTTTTACAAATGTATAACATTCATTCATTTTATCATACAAGATAAGCACCACTCGTGCAGTGGGCTATAGTTTATTGTGAGTTACTTTTTCCAAAATACAGTATGTTCAGTTAACTATAAGGAGGCAGAATTAACACTTGGATTCTTTGATCATGGAGGCTAGTTTTTGGATGTTTATTGTGACAAACTTGGCATTTCATTGAAAACATTAAAACATTATAAATTTACAATAATCTAGAGGCACAATACATTCTGTACTTTTTACCAAAAATTTTTATCTAAACCAAAATCTGAGATATTGTGAAAAACAGACAAGGGTCAAGAAACTCTTTATTTTCATTTTACAAGAGAACTTGCATTTCTCTTTAATGTTTTTACAAACTGACTGCATAATTATTAAAGTTTTATTATAGCTAGTGTAAAAATGTTACTTTCAATTCATTTGTGGAGAGTGTTTAGATATCCTTCTTGCCTCTTGATTAAACATTTGATTTTCTTGTTGGGAATGTAACATAAAATTTTAATTTAACCATTGGGTCTTAATTCAAATAGTGGGTTTAACTTTAAGTAAGCCTAAAAGCATATTTCAGAAAAGTATAACCTTCTTTTTTGTTGATCTATATTCCATTACAAAACTTAACGTTAAATTAATCCAAGGTTATGTTTTAGATTAATTCTGTTACTGCTGGGTTTGTTTTATTTTTTAAATACAAAGTGATTTACTATTTTTGTGGGAGAAATATGTTTATGTTTATATATGTGTTCATAATACAGAAGTATCCATGTTTCTATATTATAAAAATATCGAAAAAAAGTATTTTGTGAAGTTTAGCCCATGAGTTGAAATTAAATCTGATAAAATTACATCTCTTATTTCAAGTATATAATGTATTTATGACAGCTTAATTTGTCATTGTTATCAGAGACACAAAGTGTATTAAATAGGAAACTTTTCCAGAAAGTTTAGGTGTAGGAATGAGTTAGACTAATAGAACTTTGTGTAATATTATCAGAGCAGCAAAGTCAGTGAAGTTTTTATTTATATAAGAAAATCTTGTATATTTTCATATCATTATTGAAACTATGAAATGATTATAATATTAAGATCCTAATAGATGTTAGATCGAGGCTACGAGTTAGTAAAGCTTTTTAATGTCAAATTAATACTTTTCTTCTTTCTCTTTTAATAGAAAACCAAGGCTTAACCCTCAACTTGTATCCCAACAAGTCGTCCACCACTATGCTCCACCACAGACTAAACAAAAGATTTCTTCGAAGCTAGAAAAAAAAAATTTAGAAAATTCTTCTGCAGAAACTCTGCCAAAAAAGCGACACAGGCAAGCAAAGATTTTGTACTATTTTTAACTTAAACTAGTGAGTGATGTTTGAATATGTGGAATAAAAACTGTCTGTTCTATACCCTTTAATCCAGTGAAATGGATCGTATCGTCTTGTTGTGGAACTCTATATGTCTACACTTGATTGATACTGTACATGTGTAATTTCTGAATCTTGGACAGCATTTGTTGTAGACTGGATTAGATGTTTTTGAATTCATAGAAAACTGTAAGAACAATGATCATTAAATTATTTATATAATAGAATGTGTTAGTTGAAAGATATGTTTGCAGTGGTTGATATTAAAAACAAAAAGTTCTACCTATGTTTCTTTATTCACCTTAAAAACAAAAACTTCTACCTATGTTTCTTTATTCATCTTAAAAACAAAAACTTATACCGATGTTTCTTTATTCACTTTAAAAACAAAACTTATACCTATGTTTCTTTATTCACTTTAAAAACAAAAACTTATACTGATGTTTCTTTATTCATCTTCAAAATAAAACCTTATACCTATGTTTCTTTATTCACCTTAAAAACAAAAACTTCTACCTATGTTTCTTTATTCACTTTAAAAACAAAAACTTATACCTATGTTTCTTTATTCACCTTCAAAATAAAAACTTCTACCTATGTTTCTTTATTCACTTTAAAAACAAAAACTTATACCTATGTTTCTTTATTCACCTTAAAAACAAAAACTTATACCTATGTTTCTCTATTCACCTTAAAAATAAAAACTTATACCTATGTTTCTTTATTCACCTTAAAAACAAAAACTTCTACCTATGTTTCTTTATTCACTTTAAAAACAAAAACTTATACTGATGTTTCTTTATTCATCTTCAAAATAAAACCTTATACCTATGTTTCTTTATTCACCTTAAAAACAAAAACTTCTACCTATGTTTCTTTATTCACTTAAAAACAAAAACTTGTACCTATGTTTCTTTATTCACTTTAAAAATAAAAACTTATACCTATGTTTCTTTATTCACCTTAAAAACAAAAACTTCTATCTATGTTTCTTTATTCATCTTCAAAATAAAAACTTCTACCTATGTTTCTTTATTCACCTTAAAAATAAAAACTTATACCTATGTTTCTTTATTCACTTTAAAAACAAAAACTTATACCTATGTTTCTTTATTCACCTTAAAAACAAAAACTTATACCTATGTTTCTCTATTCACCTTAAAAATAAAAACTTCTACCTATGTTTCTTTATTCACTTTAAAAACAAAAACTTATACCTATGTTTCTCTATTCACCTTAAAAATAAAAACTTCTACCTATGTTTCTTTATTCACTTTAAAAACAAAAACTTATACCTATGTTTCTTTATTCACTTTAAAAATAAAAACTTCTACCTATGTTTCTTTATTCACCTTAAAAACAAAAACTTATACCTATGTTTCTTTATTTGTTTGTCCAACCACCTAAGATATCCACTGTACCCAAACTTCCCTTATACACCTGCTTACCATATCTCGGGAGACAAGAGCTCCCTTATCACGAAACAGTGGAAAAGTTATGTCACATTTACTATCTCCAAATTGACCTGAAAGTTATTATGAAATCCAACTTTAGATTCACATTTTTTCCGCTACAAAGATCGTTTGTTGACTGCCCATTGTTCACATTTCGCCCACTTATATAGGTGCGGAGACTGTAAGGTCTCCTATATTGGTGAAACCAAACGTCACCTTAAAGTACGAGCATGTGAACACATGGGTATATCTATAATATTTCACTATCTGGCAACACAATATAGAAACAGGACATCCGATTTCTCTCTCAAACTTTAGAATTATTTCAACAGCCAAACATGATACTGAAGTTCTTATAAAAGAAACATTATACATAAAAACTCTTCTCCCGTCCCTAAATCACAGTCTTTACCGGATTTAAACCTATTTTAACTATTTCACTTGTATCTCAGTTATCATTTTCTCGTGTTAAATATGTATATTTGATTTGTTTAATTCTTATGTATATATTTCTGTTGTAATTAGAAATATTGTTTGTTTTGTACTCCAGATTACTGATGATGGAATATTGATGATTCTGAAACGTCTAATAAATGCTTCCTGTTGTTATGTTTTCCGAAAAATGAGTCGATTTAGTGGTTAATGCTTGTATCAGATAAACTAGGACAAATAATATTTTATTGTTTTTTAGTAATATTTATGGAAAGATGCATTTTTCTGTTAATATTATTTTTATGATTTATTAATAATAATGTGATGTTTTTTACTTCTGTAATACTTGTTAGCCCATAACGTTATTTTCTTATTTTGAGATGAAAGTTAAACCATTTCTACTCGTTCTGATGATCACACACACACACACACACACACACACACACACTAAATGAAGAATAAGCTAGTGTGAAAAGGTTTGAATTTTGAAGTATTTATTTCATTTATAACTTTGTAACATCATTGGGTATATAAGATGTGGAACATTCTGAGTAAAAAAATAAAAGCTAACATATTTCTTGTACTTTTAACTACACGCATATAAATGTAGAGACAGACTAAAGTGGTTGTTTCAGCTTTTAGCATGCACCTATTGTATTAAGTTACATTGTTTACGGTATTGACATTTTTAATACTTTCTGTAAGGAAGTATGGAATCTGTTACAAGTTTTCGCTAATAGTAAATAAGAACATTTCAGTAATTTGTAAAGATGAACACCAAATTCCAGTTTATTTCAGTATTGGACAGTTAAAACATGTAAACAAAATATCATTATTTTAGGACTTACAAATCATAAGGTTTGAAATAGCTACTATAACTCAAGATTATTAAAATATATAATGTGTACTTTTGAATATTTATATCTTTCTTCAAGTTATCAATGTGAGGAACTTGTTTGGTTGATGTGATGTTTGACGAAAGTGATGTGTTGTGAGGAACTTGTTTTGTTGATGTGGTGTTTGATGAAAGTGACGTGTTGTGAGGAACTTGTTTTGTTGATGTGATGTATGGTGAAAGTGATGCATTGTGAGGAACTTTTGTTGATGTGATGTTTGACAAAAGTGACACGTTATGAGGAACTTGTTTTGTTGATGTGATGTTTGACGAAAGTGACGTGTTGTGAGGAACTTGTTTTCTTGATGTGATGTTTGACGAAAATGACGTGTTTATCTAGAATATACTGCTCTTGATTAAAGTAATTAAGTAATAAATTTATCAGTGATTTCAATTGTTTGTAAAATGACATACTTACTAAAATCATGCTATGAACGACTTGTGGGTCTCGTTTCTTAATTTTTGTGTCGACATACTTACTAAAATCATGCCATGAATGACTTGTGGGCCTCGTTTCTTAATTTTTGTGTCGACATACTAACTAAAATCATGCTATGAATGACTTGTGGGCCTCGTTTCTTAATTTTTGTGTCGACATACTAACTAAAATCATGCTATGAACGACTTGTGGGTCTTGTTTCTTAATTTTTGTGTCGACATACTAACTAAAATCATGCTATGACAGACTTGTGGGTCTTGTTTCTTAATTTTTGTGTCGACATACTAACTAAAATCATGCTATGAACGACTTGTGGGTCTTGTTTCTTTGTGTTAGGAATTGTTTCAGCCATTGTGGTAATTCCTTTGTTATTGCATCAATACTGCTTGTTGCATCTTTTTGCCATTGGCAATGTAACATGGTTAATAACATCACAGTTACTATTCAGTGCACTTACATTTGCTAATAAGCATGTCATGGTTTGGAAAGAGTTTAAAACATCCATGTACATAAACAATGACCATATACAAAAATATAGACCAATAGGAATTGATCTTGTGAACTAATAAATCAAGCTAAAAATCACTTGACTCATAACTTCTGTTTATTAGTTACTATTTTGAAAACTTCCCTAGCTCACAAAATTGTGAAGTTGTACTTATTTAATGTTATTAAAATGTTCAGTGTTGTGGTTTAACAATACAACTATAATAACATTATTGTTTATTAGGCCACGACTGAAGAATGTTGACCGTAGTAGTGGTCAGCAGAAAGCAGTTACCGTCAACAATGTCACTGTTATCATCACAGAATTTCAACCAAAGTCATCAGACCGTAACGGAAGGCTGTCTAGTGGTAATACTTCGGATAGTGGCAGCATGTCCGATTCCACCAATCACAGTGATGTTAAAATTGGAAGTCTACACTCGGATAGATGAGTGTGCGGATAACTAGTTATGATGTGCTTTTGTTTATAGTTAGAAAATTCTGGTATTGTAATAAATAAGTCATTAAGTTAGTTTTCTTTTCGTATTTGGCTCATGCACTTCAACATACAGAACTTTCCATGTTGAATTTAGTGTTTGTGGAAAATGAGCCGACATGATGTTTGATATGTAATAAATTTCAGTGTGCATTGCCGTTATAGATTCATTTTTTAATGTTTTGGAAGATGTTCTGTAGGATACGATAAAGTTTTTAGCTGACACGTAAAACTGTTTTGAGATCGATTTATGATTTTACCTTGTTATTTCTTGGTACCTTATTGGTTTCATTGTATCTTTCTTCGTTTTAAAACATTTAGCATAATCCGACTGAATGTTTTTTTGAATGAATCTAAGTTTCAAATGGACAGCAACTGCCTGTTGTAGAAAACTACAAATGTAGAGGACGACGTTTCGAAAAACGTCCCCCTATTGTCTTCTGGAGACGAAAGGCGGAAGTCTTTCGAAACGTCATCCTTTACATTTGTAGTTTTATACAACAGGCAGTTGCTGTCCATTTGAAACTTAGATTCGTTCAAAAAGCATTCAGTCGGATTAT